GGAGGCCGAGGTATGAGTTTTCGGACTTCCAGCTGGACGTTCTGGAAACGACGTTTAAGGTGCGACCGAAGCCTGGTCACTACAAGAGAATGTTGCTGGCCTGCCTCACTGAGATCCCCGAGGATCGCATCCAGGTGAGTTGCGGCGGGAGAGATGGTCCCGATTCTGCCAGGAAGAAAGGCGAGACGGGAGGACGTCGGGTGGGGATTGGGGCACAGGAGGAGAACCGATCGGGAGCTCCCTTCCAGGTCTGCCTCTTGCAGCCCCTCGAGCCTGGGCGCCTTTCTCCCTTTGCTCGACGGGCAAGGGAAACTCGCCCGGGGACCTTCCTTGGCCGAGGCGAGCAGGGCTGGAGAGCTGCTAGGGGAGGCGCTGCTCCTCCCGCCCAGGGCGGCTGCTCTTCTCTCCCGGCCTCGCCTTCTCACTTCCCTCGTGGCGCTCGCTCTCCTTCCGCGATCGGCCCTCCTCCATCGCAAGGCGGCTCCCACCCAGGCCTGGTGTCGCCGGCGGGGCCTTCTGGGAGCCCCGTGTGTCCTTCCCGCTCCCTCCCGGCTGGGTCTCGTCCTCTTCCGGGCTGGGGGCCCAGCGTCCTTCTTCTGGGGAACGAATGAGACCCCTCACGGCATTTTGGTCGAGGGGAGGGAAACCGCCATGGGAGAAGCAAATATGGTGGGAGGGAGGCCTCTTCCTCTCCTGTAAGGACATGGAGATGGCAGAGGGAAGGCTGCAGGGCCGTTTTCTGTGAGGCCCGAGGAGACTCCCTCACAGAGCCCCCTTCGAGGTCTTTAACTCGCTTGGGGAGGGAGGGGGCTGATGAATTTTAAGGCAGGTTTTCCCCCCGTTGCATGGGGAATTGGGCCAGTTTAAGAGGGAACATAGGGGAAAGGATAAAAGATCCAGGGGTATTATTGTGATTAAATTCAGTGTGGAGGACTTGAGACTGGATCCCCCATGATCTGGCCCGTTCTGGTGGGAATCTGAGTCCAATAACATGAAGAGATGGGGACGGGAGTTTCTTGAGAACACCTGTGCTCATGCTCCTCTTATTCCTCACAGCTCTGGTTCCGGAACCGGCGGGCAAAGGCGCGGAGGGCAAATTGTGAAAATTGTCCTCCAGATGATGTGTCCTCCAGGGCCGGCTTTACATTTGCTGCTCAGGTTCCAAATGTCGGCCTGCCAGTGCCTTCCATTCCTCAAAGCTGCAGCCTGCCACTTCACCAGGTCCAGCTTCCAGGCTTTGGTCTGCAGCCACCGCACCAGGTCCAGTTTCCAGGGTTTGGTCTGCAGCCACCGCACCAGGTCCAGCTTCCAAGCTTTGGCCTGCAGCCACCACACCAGGTCCAGCCTCCAAGCTTTGGCCTGCAGCCATTGCACCAGGTCCAGCCTCCAAGCTTTGGCCTGCAGCCATCGCACCAGGTCCAGCTTCCAGGCTTTGGTCTGCAGCCATCGCACCAGGTCCAGCCTCCAAGCTTTGGCCTGCAGCCACAGCACCAGGTCCAGCTTCCAAGCTTTGGCCTGCAGCCATCGCACCAGGTCCAGCTTCCAAGCTTTGGCCTGCAGCCATCGCACCAGGTCCAGCCTCCAAGCTTTGGCCTGCAGCCACTTCACCAGGTCCAGCCTCCAAGCTTTGGCCTGCAGCCACTTCACCAGATCCAGCCTCCAAGCTTTAGCCTGCAGCCACTTCACCAGGTCCAGCCTCCAAGCTTTGGCCTGCAGCCACTTCACCAGATCCAGCCTCCAAGCTTTGGCCTGCAGCCACTTCACCAGATCCAGCCTCCAAGCTTTAGCCTGCAGCCACTTCACCAGGTCCAAGCATGGAATCAGCCCCCTACAATGCTGGATCAAAATAAATTTTGTTATTTTTAGCCTACCAGAAGCCTCTGTAATGCTGTGTCTCCTCCAGGGCCGGCTTTATACCTGCTGCTCAGGTTCCAAATGTCAGCCTACCATTTCCTTTCCTTCCTCAAAGCTGCAGCCTGGCACCTCCTTGCCAAATCTCAACACAGAGCCTGTCAGCCTCCCAAATCAAAATAAATTTTGTCATTTTTAGCCTAACAGAAGACTCTGTAATGTTTTTGTTGCGTGAGAGGGGGAGCAATGTCAGACGTGGTCACTGCAGTCAGAAATCTTGTGGGTGTCCTTGGGGCAGTTCTTTGCTCTCGTCTCCACTTTAACCATGCAGGTGTGGGAATGTTGTGGATAGTAGGAGAGGATATATTGATTAAATATTATCCTTCCTCTCTCATGCTAGTGAATTATATAGCAGAGCTCATTCCTCTTTACACAACAGGGAGCTAGTTGCAGATTCATTTGAATCTCTTTAGTCAAACAATCCAATCCGGACATGCTTTAGCTTGTAGTTATAGACTACACTACGCTACACTGTAGTGCGGCTTACATCTTTGGGTGGGCCCGTGTGCTGCTGGCAGAGAGCCAGCAGACTGCATCAGAAGCACTGGCAAAAATGGAAGAGAGTAGCAAAAGAGAAAGATGGTTGCGTGACTGGCCCCTTTGTAGGGTCTGCAAGGTCACATGCAGGGGGAAGATGCTTCAAACCTGGTGGAACAGGAAACTACCTTGGCTGGAGCAACATCCCCCTGTCTGTGTCCACTCTAGGGAAAGAGTCATGAGGAGGAAGCAGCTCAACTTGCAAACAAGGAGGGCAGGCAGAATTTTTAAGAGGAGGCTCAATAATCATCTCAGGGCCTGGGTGTGAGGTCTAAGACACCTTGTTTTTATTTGCCAACTACATTGGGCTCAAAGTGGCATACAAGTGTATAAAATAGAATCCCTGGTGGGGAAAGAGATGGGAATTTATGGCAGAAATTATAACCTAAGGCAGGCATGGCCAAACCTTGTCCCCTCCAGCTAACAGGACAAGTGGTCAGGGATGATGGGAATTGTAGTTCCAAAACAGCTGGAGGGCCAAGTTTGGCCATGCCTGGCCTAAGGCAACTCAATGAGCCAATAACAAAGATTCTGAAATGTTGCTTTAAAATCTTTCCTTCCTCCCTTGCAGTAGAGAATGTGGCTGGGTTATGTATGTAGCCTGTTCTTCTGATATTGCCAACATTTTATAGAATTATTTCCACATATGGAGTCATTTACCACCACTCCAGCTTTTGCACCTTTTTCAGCTCTGCCTTTCCCCCTCTCCACTAAGCCCCTGTATATACTCCTTGGGGGGGGGGAGAGAAACCTCTCGCTCTTCCTTTGCCCTTCTTGCCTGACTTAAGACACGGGAGAAGTGTTGGCTGTCCAGCAAAAGGTGGCAGCCCTGCCCTGTGCAGGAACCTAGCCTCTGCTCAGCTCCTTTCCACAATGAAGGCATTGGGCAAAGGTTGGGTCTACTGTCACCTCAAAGTGCCCCCAGACTTCCAGTTCCTCACTGCTGCAATGGCGGCAGCAGCAGGGAGAGAGGTGGTGGAGATGACCTGTAGATATTGTATCCCCTGTTGCTCTTTGTACCAATGAATGTGCATAGCTGGCGCACCACCCAGTGGAGCCCTGGGTCCTATTGGACAGGTGAAAAGAGCAGTCCAGTCATAGTCGGGTCCAGATAAATAGACCAGAGAAGGGAACGCACCGGCTGCCTCCTTGCCCTCCGCTGAAACTGTTATTCCATAGCTCTCAATGACCATGACAAAGAAACTAAGAAATAAAAATGATCAGGCAGTAAACATTATTAAAGCAAGCCCATTTTATTGACATAAAAATTACCAGCAGAATTTGCACTTTATTAAATTTCTATGCCACCCTTTATTCAAGGATCACAAAGTGGTTCAGAATACAAAAATGTATAAAATAGTAAGAAGCTGGCGTATATTGTTTGTTACTATGCTATGCATTTTTGTGTTTTCTATTTTGTAAACTGCCCTGTGAGCCCTAGTCAAAGTGCAGTACAGTACAGAAATTTAATAAGAATCTTGGCAGACCATGAAAGCCCTGCCCCCCAGCTTCTCTGCTCAGTTCCTTCCTTGCCACCAGGCAAGAGGAGTGAGAAATGAATTTGCACATTTTCTCAGTTCCAGAAGAGTCTTCACCTCTGTTGTTTCTCTTCCCTCCACCTCAGAGTTCCTCCAGTGCTATTCAGCATCTAGTCCTCAAGACAGAGTGCTGGCCCTCTCCATGTCAAGGGAGGGAGGAAAGCGAACACTTCTCTTCTGCAGCTCAAGGGCACAACAAGGGATTCTGCACTGCTGTGGATCAGGGTCATCTGACCTGAGGAAGAGGACAGCCTTCAGCCCCTTTCCAGCTGGATGTTTTAGAATGACCTTCAAGGGCGTCCTCAGAGAAGAGCACCACCGAAGCACACTGTCAGCCAGCCTCACCAGCCAGACCCCAAAATTTCTAGTTAAGAATACATTACTCCTGTCTGCCATTCCTTTGACACCACTGAAGGTAGGAATGGTGTGTCTATCTTTCCCATGCTGGAAGAGGATGTCGTTTTGTTGGGGGGGGTGTGCATGACTTTGTTCGGTGGGGCAGGACTTTTGTTAGAGTGGGAAGAACCAATGTGATTGGTCAGTTAGTTATTGTTTTACTTGATCTAGGGAGGGCAGCTGCCCCCTGCTCCCCCTTTGGCTACGCCCCTGAATCAAACTATGTATATTTTTTGACATTAGTAAATAAATAGCAGACTCTCTCTTCGGGGCCCGTTCTTAAGCTGTTCCTTCTCAGGTTCATCCCTAAAACCCTGCTTTCCCAGTGCTGGAGGAGTGTGGAAGGGGTTAGGCTGGGGCCGCGGTTGTCTGAAGTGGAGGCATGGGGAGGAAGGGAGAGGAGAGCCCCAAAAACGCTTGGCTGTCTATAGATCTGCCTCAAAGCGGCGCACGATAAAACAGAAAGAAGTTCAGTTAAAATCAAAACCCCAAAATCTAATCCAAAGACAGAAGAGCGGCAAAGAGTTGACAGATCGGGCCAGGCAGTTGCCTCCTGGCTCAAGCCCCGCCCCCAATCCCCAGGGGAACCAGTGACGGAGACGGGGCCACGCCCACTTCCGGAGGTCCATAAAAGAGCCCCGCGGTGCCTCCGCGCCATTCATTCATTTCCACCGGCGGGAAGCGGATTTGCGCATCTTCCCAGGTTCGAAGAGGCCTTCCCTCTCGCGGCCAAGGCAGGGGAGTTGCGCAGCGTCGCGACTTGGCGGGAGAAGGTGGGATGTGCCGACGGACGTCGATCTCCCAGGTCAAGGGGTCCCGAAGCCCGACCACCACCGGAGAACGCTGCTGGCGTGCCCCGCCGACCCCCGGATCCAGGTGCGTGAGGAAGACTCGGGACGAGGCGAGGGTGGAGGAAGATCTGGTTCTGTTGGGAACATAGGAGCCAACAACTAGGGGCTGAGGTCTCTTCGGCTACATGGGCGTGGCCATGGGGGGTAGGGGGCAGCTGCCCCCCAGCAAGTAAATCCATAAGAATACTTACCTATCTGAGGTTCTGCCCCCTCAACCTGAAGCCTAACAGAAATCCTGACCACGCCCATGCTCCCATAATATATTTAGGGGGGGGACGACACAGAACTGAGTTAGCTGCAACGCAATTGGTCAGTTGTTTTATTTACTTGATTTTGGGGGCAGCTGCCCCCCTTGGCAACACCCATGGGCTAAGGACCTTCCCCAAAGTTGATGGGCGTTGCCATACAAATTATGTGTATGCTGCGTCCTATGATTGATTATGCAGGGTGGGGCTTACCTGCCCCACCCCCAGCAATATTTTATTCAAGTTGGCACCCCTGGCTGGGAAGTCCTTCTCGCACCCTCAAGTATTGTGAGCCATGGTATACAAATTTAATCAATAATAAAGGGGCAAGGTGGGAGGTAGCATCTCTCTTGGGATCTTCTTGGCGGCGGGTAGAAGGGTGGGGTCCCCGCTTCCTGGTCTGCCTCTTGCAGTACCTTAAGCCTAGGTGGGTGTCCTGAGTGGGATGTCAGTCCCCTGAGCTCAATGGGCAAGTGAATCAGGGGGTCGGGAGGGGGGATCAGTTCCCCTGTCCTGGTTTCATGGCTCACAAGGGTCCTCTTGAGAGCCAGTGTGGTGTAGTGGTTAAGAGCGGTAGTCTCATAATCTGGTGAACCGGGTTCGCGTCTCCGCTCCTCCACATGCAGCTGCTGGGTGACCTTGGGCCAGTCACATTTCTTTGAAGTCTCTCAGCCCCACTCACCTCACAGAGTGTTTGTTGTGGGGGAGGAAGGGAAAGGAGAATGTTAGCCGCTTTGAGACTCCTGAAGGGGAGTGAAAGGCGGGATATCAAATCCAAACTCTTCTCTTCTTCTTCTCTTTCCCATTCTCCCAACAGCTGTGGTTCCAGAACTGCAGAGCAAATCGAGCGGAGGGGAAAGTTTTGGAAGATCCCTCCAGGAGATCCCTTCACTGTGGACCCCTGGGCCGATGGCCTCCCTATGATGCAGGGTGCAAGCTGTCTCTTGTTCAAGATCCAGAGGGGTGTTAATGGAGAGCTGGATTGACTTCATGGGCTATGATACTGCCCGCAGTAAAGGTGTGCATTTTGAAATTGCCACAAGACTCTGGACAAAAAAATCTGCTGGGCAAAGAAGAGGGGCAAGGCGTGGAGGCCCAATGCCCAGAATTGCCCCCCCCCCCCGTGCAATTTCCACCTGCTCCAGAGATTGCAAGTTGCAGCATGTAGTCACCTCACAAGATGGAGCCTGCCACCACTTCATAGGGTTCCAAGCTTTCAGAAGACACTGAGCTGACTTTGCTGGGTGACAGGATGGCTTAACTTGCTCGCTTAATAATTTGCTACTGGGCCTGGTTCAAGTGTTACTTCATAGATCACTAACCAGCTGGGGACCAACGTACTTTAAGGAGTATCTGATTCCTTGTGTTCTGCTTCAGTCACTAAGACCCTCTGATGGGGCAAATTTGGTGGACCTAGATGCTTCAGAGGGTTAGGAGGGGTTGGGACTTCAGAGTGGCAGGTCATCCCCCTCAAGGGAGCTTTGGCATGATTTGTCCTTGCTTGCTTTTCAAAAATATTGTAAAAACTACCGTATATTCAGACAGGTCTTTCAAACTTGATGTGTTGGATATTTTTCTTGTTGTACTGTGATTTTAGACTGGTGATATTTTATATGAAAGTTTGGTTTATAAATATTTAAGATAAATAATAAAATAATTCTGTCCAGCTTGTACACTTTAAATTCTTACTACTTCTTTCCCCCTGCCCCCAAGTCATTTAGTCCTTTAGTGTTGTAAAACTGAAAAACAAAGGGGTTGTTCCAGGCTGTCACTGTTAAAAGGGGATGCAGAGGCTGGCTGAGGATGATGGGAGTTGTAGTCTAAAACAAGGGCACCGGGTTAGTGAATGCTGATTTAAGCAGATCAAACCAATTCCAGTTAATAGCACCACTGGTGGTGGTTATGTTAGTTTGGTTTGCCTGGAGTTGACTTGGGAGAAAGACACAGGGAAGAAATTCTATTGTGAATATGACTCAGTATACAGAGGTACCTTTGAGAAATACACACAACATAGACCTCTTGACAGCAGCAGTTATAGTAGAAAATAAAGATTAAAAGCACAAATCCTATAAAATCAAAGTGGTTATTTCACAACCAAATAAGGAGTCAGGTCCTAGGATTTCCATAGGATTGTACAAAAATACAAATTGTTCCTCTTTGTGAGAGGAGCTGAACCTTGGAAAGAAACCACATACACATTGATCTTTTCCTGACCCCATTGTCTATGAAAAAATGAAGAGGCGTTTTGCTACTGTTCTGTCCACTAACATTGGCTCAGGCAAACACCTCCCCCCATAACAAAATTCAATTTTATGGTTATTTTATGACACCAATGGTTTTGTTTCCATAATGAAAATGTTATGTGGTAACTGACTGAAATTGGGGACATTGTACTAGGTCTACTATGTGGTTGCTGCGGTTTTGCAATCTAGCAGCATATACATTCTATGAAATAAATATATAAATTGCAGTGAAAAATACACCGGGGAGTCTTTCACCCCCCGCTCCCAAATTGGATGAAGTTCAAAGTCCATATAAACATTCTCCACCACCTCTGCACACACCTTCCAAATCACCAGGCAAAAATGAATTTCTGAAAATATATTAACTAAACGTTTTAAAACTATTTCAGGCCTAATGCTCATGTTTCGCAATTTTAGTAAAACATTACAACTTACATAACTCAATGAGAATAAAAGATTTATGCATTTCTTAAAAGAACAGGTTTTGCTAAATATAGACTCTGCAGTTAAGTTTTGAAGCAGCACAAATACACACACAGAATACAGAAGCATTTTTAAAACTATACAAAATTTTAAATTGAAAATAATTGTTTACATTTTCTTTTTACATTAACATACAAAAGACCTCATTTTATGAGGCATGAAAGAATCAAAACATTGCTACAGCTATCTAAAAATTCAAATCTGGAAACAATTTATTACACTGAAGCTTTACAAGTCTATTCTAAATAAACAACTCAATACACCCTTTTTACAAGATTGATACTTCTGTGTACTCCTCAGATCTTTGCTTTTTATTTTTATTTAGGCAGTTCAGGGGACTGGCTATCGAACTGCATCATGAACTCTGTTAATTGCTTGATAAGCAGGTATCTAGTTTAAGTTTGTGCAACAAATCAATGGAAAAATATTACCAGTTATTTGTGTGAAATACCTCAACTAGAACACTTTGCCCATTATGGAGGGGGAAAAGCAAGTCATATCAATTTCTGGGAATTCAGCAGTCCTTTTCTACTCCTTCATTAGATTACTTTTATAAGTTATGATAAATAAAGACATTCAAACGATATTAACTGATTTACAGGGATTCCCAGTATCCACAAGTGTACAATAGCTACCTACCCACTCCCATTCCTTTGCATATCCTGCTGCCACTTCGCAAGAACAGGAATACACACTGCTTTTTACCAATCACAGCACTCTTCAGAAACTAAAATCAAAAGGCAGTGAGACACAAGTACTAGGCTTTCAAGAGGAGATTGCTATGCAACCTCTGTGTCACTTCCTTCTTCAAAACAGCTCTCAATAGTTGACAGAATAGTTGCAAATAAATTTAAAAGAAAAGTATTCTTGCTTCACATTATAAGAAAACATGTCTGTATAACTTTCAGTTCAAAAACAACATACCTATGTACTTTTATAACTAAAGGTTAGGTGTTAAACAAGATACAGTATGTGCATAGCAAGTGATGAAGTCTATAGCAATGCTGGTAATTTTATGCTGGTTTCTTCAGAAGCAGTACAATGGATCTCAAAATATCCTCTTTTCCTATTTCTTCTAGCAGTTAGGATATTTGGTGAAGCTTATATAAGAAGGCTTTTTCATAACTACATTCTGTACACTTGGACGAAGGTGAACGTTTCTTTCAGTCTCTGTTGGTGTTATTTGCAGCAAAGGCATGTAGATTTCCCATCTGGCTGAGGCCACTCTGGATGTGTGCAACGTGGATCTCAACGTTATTTTGAAAACAACTAAAGAAAGAAAAAGTTTTCGTTTGTCAGCATCTCTGAAATGTTCAACATACTGAATGTATTACAGTCTTTCAGTATACACCCCCCCAATGTATTCTACTGCCCCTGCCTCAGTGAGATCTCACCGCCCCCAACATTGGGTGTGTTCAGGACTTTTTTTTAATCTGTCCTGGCTTTGGGGATATAAATGTTTTTAAACTCTTGTTGCTGCTTTAAATTAATTTTTCTAATTATTGTTATAATGTCGTGTTACAGAAAGCTTGTATTATAAGCTACCCTGGGCTTTGCCCCCCCCCCAGTTTTAAAAGGCAGGTGTATAAATACAAATAAGCACACCAATAAATAAAATACTACAAGATATTACCTGATGTTGGTGGAATCTATGGAATTTTTGATGTCGTTTAATGAATCTGTTAAAGACTTAAACTCAAAGGAGTTTAGATCGCCTCCTTCTGCTAGACACTAGAAGAAAAGAAATTTAAAAAATTAGAGGTTCAGGAGATAATACATGTTACAGCTGTTTACAAAATCCAAAAACTGTGGAAACTGCTCTGCCACTTTGTGCATCCTGCTTGTGTGGGGTGGGAGGCTAAAGGAGGTTAGTGGACATTGATGAGGTCCTCAGAGGGTGCATAAACAGTAAGGGAGCACTACAGACTAGGTTCTGAGAAGGAAATGTAATGACAAGCCAAGTCCCTCTCTGAAATTTGCTGGGGTGGTCTGTATGGGGGAAGTTAGTTATTAGGGGTAGCAGACTTCCACACTTTTCTGAGGCCAGCATTACTGTTTCAGCATCGGGGACAAGGCTGAGCCTTGGCAGCATCCCTCACCTCAACAGGGGGAGTATGCATTTTCATTCTCTCACTACCATTTACCTTAATCTGCAGTAATATTGCTGTAAGCCTAGCAATCAAATCCGTCAGGTTTTCATTCTGAACACACGGCTGTCCTGTTGTTGATGTATTTGACTGTCTGACAATTTCCTGAGCTTCTTCTTCACATCTCCGTCTCAGATCTGTGGGATGGTCTGCAGGCTGTAGACCCTGATCTGGGGCAAGCTGGGAGATAAAATGAACATAGATCGAATTAGATTCCGTCTGCCAATAGTTCATCCAGGTTCTATATTCTAACATTATCACTGACTTATATTCTGTTTAAAATGGAGAGGTTATGCTATCTAATGTAACAGAATCTGACTGAACAAGTTTTGCATTTGAACATTTTAAAAGCACCACCACTCCATTAGGGACAGTAGCAGAAAATGGTAGTGTATAAAACTAATAGAATAGTGTCCAACACTTCAGACTGCAGATATGGGATGCAATTTTTTAATGATCCCTACACTTTAAAAGGGACGTGGGTAGTGCTGTGGGCTAGGGCTTGCCGATCAGAAGGTCGGCGGTTCGAATCCCCGCAACGGGGTGAGCTCCCATTGCTCGGTCCCTGCTCCTGCCAATCTAGCAGTTCGAAAGCACGTCAAAGTGCAAGTAGATAAATAGGTACCGCTTCAGCAGGAAAGTAAACAACATTCCGTGCGCTGCTCTGGTTCACCAGAAGCGGCTTAGTCATGCTGGCCACATGACCTGGAAGCTGTACGCTGGCTCCCTCGGTCAATAAAGCGAGATGAGCGCTGCAACCCCAGAGTCGGCCACGACTGGACCTGATGGTCAGAGGTCCCTTTACCTTTATATTTTAAAAATCCCTTCAAGCAGAAAACTAGCATAGTGGGCTGGAATAAGAGCTCTCTCCCTGATATACTAGCTTTTTATTTGTGTGGAAGCAATTAAATAGCATCCCTCACCTGCAATTTCAGTTGCTACTGTCCATTCTACTGTATCAGAGACTTACTACTTCATTCTCTTGCATTTGTATATCATATTGCATGTGTATAGTTAAGTATTTCATTCAGTTATGTAGCAAATATGTGAAGAGGCTTCTAAACAGTTGAAGGAATATCAGTCAAGGTGAATTGGAAGAGTCTCTCTCTCTCTCTCTCACACACACACACGCAGAAATGGGAACTGCAAAAAGTAAATGTTGCAGCAAGAAATGCTCAAGTCCTTAGTTTCATATGACCATGCCCTCCTCTTCTATGATTCTGTGTTCTATTCCCCTAATTGACACTCAATATTCTGTGGTTACTGAACATGCTCAATCCTCATTGGACTGTTTGTGAGTTTTGGTTTTCTCTCTCTCTCTCAAGGTTCCTACTAAAGACCTCTGCAAATGTAAGGCTTCCGCTGAGTGCGCCAATACTGCTCTGTTTCTTTTCAGTGGCCTCCTTTTGCTAGAGAAAGTAATGAAATCTTTAGAATCATATACCAACAGATATCCAGGCAGAAGTGATTTAATTAGGTAAAGGTAAAGGTACCCCTGCCCGTACAGGCCAGTCTTGCCAGACTCTAGGGTTGTGCGCTCATCTCACTCTATAGGCCGGGAAGCAGCGCTGTCCGCAGACACTTCCGGGTCACGTGGCCAGCGTGACAAGCTGCATCTGGCGAGCCAGCGCAGCACACGGAACGCCGTTTACCTTCCCGCTGGTAAGCGGTCCCTATTTATCTACTTGCACCTGGGGGTGCTTTCAAACTGCTAGGTTGGCAGGCGCTGGGACCGAACGACGGGAGTGCACCCCGCTGCGGGGATTCGAACCGCCGACCATGCGATCGGCAAGTCCTAGGCGCTGAGGTTTTACCCACAGCGCCACCCGCGTCCCTAGTGATTTAATTATTACCATATTAATCCCCCTCCATTCTTTTCTCAAGAAATATTACAGATGGTGCAGAGCATAAGGCTTGTAGTATTTGAAACTCCCATTGTTCTAAGCTCATTTTGCGACAGGGAATTTCACTAGCGCGAGCAGTTTCTGTGCTCTGGGCGCAGTACTGTGCCTAATATTTCAGATTAAAACTGCCACTGTTGAAGAGACCCTCTTAAGAATATTAGGGGGGTGGGCAGGGGGACGACTAGACCATGCGAAAATTGAACATAATATTTTAGCTGCAGCTCATTCATTTTCAGCTTGTATTCTTGTTATAAAAGGGCGTGCCTAGAGATTCCGTTGTTGCACACATAACCAAGGTTTAAGGTCCCATTTAGCTCCTAGCTTTCATATCTCAGTTTCTAACACCGTCTACCCCAGGGGTAGTCAATCTTTTTATACCTACCGCCCACTAATGCATCTTTCTTGATGCTACAATTTCCTTACCGCCCACCAGTGCTCGATGGAAGGAGGATTCAGCCTGTGCCGTAGAACCCCCTACCACCCACCTAGAATCCTGAAGCACCCACTAGTGGGTGGTAGGGAACCAGTTGACAACCCCTGGTCTACCCACTGGAGAGTGGCACTGTACAAAACAATGCCTTAATTACTAATATGAAAGAGAACAGTTCCCCATGCTTACAAGTCATGGCAGCATGGTGTAGTGGTCAGTGTGGGACTTAGACCTGGGAGACCAGGGTTCAAATTGCTACTCGGCCATGACCCCCAGTGGGTTATCTTGGGCCGGTCACTATCTCTCAGTTTAACATACCTCACAGGGCTGATGTGAGAATAAAATGGAGGAGGCAAGTGTATATGCCACCTTGAGGAACTTGGAGAAAAGAGGAGATATAAATGCAATAACAACACTAGTTACCTAGACAGTGATTGCATTATACTAGGTAGGTATTTGTGTAGTGAGAAGGGCACTCTGCTCATGCCCACATGCACTCTCTTCACTTGGCCTCAAGAGTAGGGCTTATGTTTGGTTCATATTTCTTTAGCTTCCATTCCTTTTTCAGTAGTGATATTGTGTTACTAATATGGTGCCTTAACTATTTAGCCCTGTGCAACGTAACACCAATTTTCAGTAATGAGAGATAAGTTCTAGTTGCAGATGTTGGCAGAGGACATGGTGAAATGAATTCTGCATGTGCTCAGAGACACACTTATCCTTTTGCAGTCATGCTGCGGCAGCTTTCCAAAATTCAAAACGGGAGATAGTCATAGTTCTTCCCCAGAAATGCCAGGAATTGAACCAGGGACACTCTTCATGCAGAACTGATGCTTTACAATTGAACTATATCAGTTTCTGAGGCTGCTATGGGTTCTTCCAATGGCTATAATCCTCTATTTGGGAAAGATAGAATAGCAGCATTTTACCTCATAACAATACTGTTGAACTTTATGTAAAACTTTGTTTAGATCCTTGTTCAGCTGTTCAAGATCTAAGACAATAGTTGCGTATCTTCTCTGAAATTCAATGCCAATAGGCATTGAGTAGGATTTCTGTGCAAAGAAAAGAGAAAGAAAAGAATTAAGTGCACAAAGCAATAACTTGTTTATTTCTTGCACAATTAAAGCGAGATTTCAAAACAATTTGGTTTTGAAATAGTTTTGACATGAGGGCTTCTTAAAAATGCTTGCTGCATTACCTAGCCACCTTAAGGAAAGTGTGAAAATGTATTTAAATTTCCTATGAAGATTTAATCAACGAACAAACAGAGGGTCCTTTCAAAATCAATTCCTGCAAATAAATTTGGTGCAGATATTTTCTGAACTGTATTACATTTTACTTATTTTATTACACCCTTCCCCCTATGGAAGTCCAGGGCAGCAACTGTATGCCTATTTAACTGATGCATGTCCAAGATAGCCGGGGTTGAGTTCAGATTTAGTGCTGCTGAAATCCTACAAACAATTACCTGTCAGTTCTCAGTGGGATTTACCGTAATTTTGAGTAAGCATCCATAGGGTTGTGTTGTAAGGTGTTTTAAATGGAGAAAGATTCCTACCAGGACTTGCTACAATTTTTTATTTGAACTGTGACAGCAAATATAAGGTCGCTCTGTGTTTGTTGAATGCTCTTCCCCAGGGAGGCTCGCTTGGCACCTTCATGATGTCTTTTAGGAACCAGATGAAAACACTCCCTCTTTGCTCAGGCCCTTAGCCAATTAAACATTCTATGGCTTTTTAAATTGGGGTGGGGAAAGAGTATTGCTTTTGTTTGTTATTATATTATGAATGTTTTTATCGTAAACCACCCTGTGATCCCCAGATGAAGGATGGTATAGGAATTGAATAAACAATAATAAAAGATAGCCACAAAAGAACATCTTAGAAATATATAGTTCTTTCTTTATGTCAATACTTAGAAAAGCTGCTACTAAGAACAAATTATTTTCAAGTACTCTCCCACTCTTAACTAGATCTGAGAGTTAAAACCTTCAGACTGAGGCTTGGAGGCTCAGGGGGATGGGGCATGGGGCCTTCAATCCAAATTCTGTTACAGACCTTCCTTTGTTTGAACTTAGTTAAACAAGAAGCATACACCTTTAAAACTCCTTAAGCCCTGTGTAACCTTTACAAGACAGCTGAAACAAGTATACATATATATTTACCAATTTTTCTGCTTCTGTGTTCATCTCCCTTAATTGCTTGATGTGTTCCTTCTTGATCATAAGAATCTTTGATAGTCTGGTCTGCAGAAAACAGAGAAAGCATATCAGAATAAATATAAGATCAGTGGATTGTAAAATACATTATAAAGTAAAAACTTAGCAAACTATTGTTGTGGATATAAATCAGACGACCAAGATACAAATTAAATGTACAGACGATATAATCTGGCTTTCAAAGATTTAGGGAACGTCATTGTAGATGTTTGACAGCCATGTATAAAGTAATTAAACCGATTTTTACTTTTGGAGATGCTCAAAATCAGTACAGATAAAACTGAAAGAAAAGGAATTTACACTCACCACTTGGATAAGGAATTCTACTGGAAAACCACCTAATGTCTCACTATCTGAGCCTGAAAATTTGTTCTTCCAAGAAGACTGTCCTAGTAAAGGATCACTGTCCTATGCAACAAAGAAAGTTGCCTTAAGCATTTTATTTCATTCATTCTTATGTATTAGTTAACTATAGAATTTATTGAAATGATACTTTAATTTGCTTCAGATGGTTTAAAATGCAGCAAATTACTGAATGAATAAAAAAATTCACTTTAAGATACTTACTGTAATTGGTGACTGGAGGGAAGGTGTGTAATGTAACCGAGGAGGAGTCATAAAGAATCTAGAAGGTCGCTGTTTTTGTCCAAAGGCAGCAATTGGCATGGTTTCATGAGGTTCATTACTCTTTAAGTTAGAAAGACGAAGAAAAGTTAAGCAGCATTCACTACGATTAAGAGTAATATCTTGAAAAAGAAAATGTATTTTAGATATATTAATAAAGTTGACAAAAATACTATATGCCTTTTATCCTTGAATTGTCTTGTAAAATAAATTTATGGCATTCATCTGGGAGAAAAGAATTCACATGCTTGCAGACTTTTTTTTAAAAAGTAGATATTACTTACGAGAACTTCATAATCTGGGATTGTATGCGTTCCAAGCCCTGACCTCTCAAAGGTTACTCTGTAAGTAGCATTAAGAGTGTCAACAGCATCTATCTGTCCAGTGAAGAGTCCATCATGAGCACCACGTAACCGTGCTAAAATAAAAAACAACCACAGTCTTAATCAGAGCAAAATATTGATGCATGCCACAGAAATCAGGTGTGGCTTCCTCTGCCTTTCCAGCCTGAAGCAGTTGCATCCAGTTTCTAGCTCACATCACTCAACTCTGGTCTTTTGTCCTTCTAATTAACAGAGCACAGAGTCATTTCCTTTGTTTCCTTAATGACCCATACTTAACAGGCTATTACCAGGCTGACTATTCCAAGAACCGAATCTATGCTGATCCAGGAATTAGGAGGGTGGCTCAGGCATACAGCATCTCATAACACTATCTCCCGCGAAGAACAAGACATCTGTCCCCCAAAGCTATGGGTACAGTAAGGCGACTATTTAATGATAGAAGCTACTATTTAATGACAGAATCAAGAGTTCTGCCTCAACAAATTCTGTACCAGGAAAGCAGAATTCTGTGGCTAGTATAGTATTGCAAATTAAGTTTTAATCTCATATATTTTCTTATTTTGCACAATTTAGTCTGATTTTCTAAATGGAAGAGGAAAAGGCAGGTGTAGGACCGTGACCCCTGTCCCTATCCCAGAGAATGCTTTCTGGCTTCTAAGATTTCACTAGGCATTGCTTGCCTAATGTAAAAGCCTATCTTCACTATGGAGGCTAGAAGCCTGCATTTTTCAAAATGGAAGATTAGATTGTGAGGAAGCAGAATTATGTGCTTGTGAGGAATTAGAGAATACAAAGCCCTTATTATAAACATGGCAGGAAACAAGTGAAACTAAAACCCCAAATGGTGGGCATTTAAAACAAAGCTGCATTCTTATTGTTCTATAATTCTGGACAAGGCTGGGACAGCCCATTCTAGATGGCTGGTAGAAAGACTAATGGAACCAGTAAGCAAAAAACTCCCAATGATGTAATATCATCACGCTGAGTTAAAGAAAATAGTGGCAGACAACAGTCATGGAAGTGACAGGGTGGGTTAAAAGGAATTATGGAAGCTAGCCCTTGATTTACCGTAAGTACGTGGTCCTGTCAAAGACTAGAGAAGTTTTGCAAGAGTGTGCCGTGTATTTTATGTCTACCTGGGTCATTTGAAATGCCAAACCTAGGGAAGGTAATCCTGTTTACAGATGGTGCAGTACTAGCGGGGGAGATGTAAAAGCTTCACTCCCTTAAATAACTTCAAGTTAAACTACATCTTCAGAATTCAACACCAATTAAAACAGTAGTGTAATTTAGAGATGGGGAAAAGGTACCTGTAACTTTTGTTCCTATAACTAGTGGCAACGGAATTTCTTCTGGAAGATCTTTAAATTGGGATATATCTGCCACCTTCCGCTGTTGCAAAAGTCTAATTTTTTGCCGTTTCTGTTTTAATGCGGACCTTTCCTCTTCAAAGAATGCAGAAGAGCATCTGCAAAACAATTGTAATTTATTTACTTTGTGTTCATTTATTCAAGCATCTTATAGCTTTATCCTTGAAAAGTATGATGGATCGGGTTGCAACCAACAGTCACACGAGGACATCTGCTTCTGCAATGGGAATTTCCTCCCTCAGCCCTCTGGTGCAGATTTCACTGATGGGGGGGGGGTAAGTTCCAATGTGCAAGTGGAAGTCTTACACTTAACAGGACTTCGTTGGATAAAACTGACTGCTTTTATACACTTTTTACATTGAGGGGGGAAATCAGCACAACAGAAAGCAAGTGGTACACAGACTGGAAAGGTCCCCTGCAGGAGAATTTGACAACTGAAATCTGTATGTGCTGAAAATAATAGTTTATCCCTATGTCTAAAAACTGACACACAGAAACGATGGCTGTCGGTAATAAATGCAGTTAGATGCAACATGTTTATCCTTTCTTTGCAAAACTGAAGCCTGCCAAAACCAACTGTGCACTGAAGAGAAAGCAGTAATAGCTAACTGACATCTGTACAGACAGAAGACAGTGGTTATGAGGATGAATGCATACAATTTGGCTATCAACAGTGCAATCTTATGCATGTTTATGTAAGTCCACTGCATTCAATGGGGATTTCTCCCAGATTATGTGTACATAAAACTGCAGCCCAAGGTATCTAGATTTGAATTCCTAAAAAGGTTTCTAACCATTAGAGCTGTAAAGTACTATGATAGTTGTCTTAGAACAACTGCAAGAAGAAAGAAGTGTGCTATAGTCATAAGAAACAGTTATCCCATGGTAATGTGTTGGTTTTTTTTGGCCTTGCCTTGCCCATGGCTGAAATTCTTTCTGAATGCCATATATGTCAAACAGACCCTGTTCCTTTGTTGCGGCTTTCTTCCTCAAGTCAGCAGGAGTGATTTGATTTGTGGGGCTATCATTAAACAGTTTATCAACCCCAGGGTCAGCAGAACAACAACAACAACAACAACAACAACAACAACAACAACAACAACAACACATCCTAAATAAGCTAGGGAAAATGGTCTAATCCTTTAGCATCTGTACTGGTTGTTTGTTATTTATGCTGTCTTATAAAGCTTTACTGCTCTTCATTCAGTCCATTACTCATCCTGATACCTGAATCAGATGAACGTAAGAGACAGAACCTATTCCGAAAATCAGAATTACCTTACTCAGGTAGATGGTTTCAGGTAGATGTTTAAAAATGGAGAGCAATACAGAACCCTATACAACCCCATAACATAAATGTCAAGAAACCAATAGGTAGTTTTCCAGTGGTATCTTCTGGAATCAAGCTTCAGCCCTATGCATAAGGATGTCATGGTCCACAGCACTGAAAGCTGCCAAGATACTTAACATGGTTGTGCTCTCTCAGTCCAGTATGGGGAGGGGTGGGGCACTTTGAGAATAGGATGCTGGACTAGAGGGGCCAGTGGCCTGGTTCAGTAGGCTCTTCTTATGTCCTTATATATGCTAAGTTGTACAGTACTCCTCAAGTGCTTTGCATTCATCATCAGGCTGAAACTTGGCTACATACTCAATTACAATTATGCAACATATCCTACGTTCTTAAAATTACCCATTAAGCACCAACTTTTTAAAATGAATCATCCAGGAAACCCTTCAACAAAAACCACCACCACCAACTCCCCACAAAAACTCTACGGGCTAAAGAGCCTTCAGTCTTTCAAGCTAATATTTTACCTTCGTGGCTTCCCCATAAGCCGTCTGATCTTTCCCCATTCAACTCTTGTTAATTTTCTGGTTTTCAGATTGGGAAAGGATTCTTTCAGGCAAACGCAGAAATCATTATCACCTTCAAAGAGTGGCCTATTAAAAACAATTGGTATTCTGTCATTATATTTTCAAGTACATTCAGAAAATGTATTATGACATGCCAACACAATTTTACCTCCATATACCTAAGACTAGAGAATTTTGCTTCCAAATGTTTAAATTATAGTCACTTGTCAACTTGGGCTTATTTTAATTTCTTCATTTTACAGGAAAAATGTTATAACTGAAAATTAAAATGTTATAACTGAAAAATATTTTGAAACTAATGCAGTCAATTTAGAAATGAACAAAGCATTTTTACAAACCCCCCCAAAAAAACCACTTTCCTATTTATTAAAACTCTGCCTTGCATAATATAGTTTACAGAACCATGAATGTCATTATTACTTTTATGACTCCAGCAACTGTACTATTCAGAAATTAAAGTAATAAGCTTTGTAACATTAGAAATATTGCTATAAGTTGTCACCAATATAAAGTAGGCAAAAATGATGATAAGAACCAGGCCAAGGTATATCTTAATAAGAATACAGCAATTATTTTCTTATCTCTTTAAAAAACTTGCTATTGCAAAACATTTTGCAGAGAAACTGATGAGCAATATTTAATTCCTGTAACTGTATTAAAATCTGACAAAACCATTTTTGCCCCATTTTGCTTTAAAAAAACAACCACAAGTTTCACTGCACAGCTATGAAGCAGCCATATGAAAATACAAATAGCTTAATTCCAGTATGTTGCTTTACAATGCTATCTCATACATGCCTACACAGAAGAAAGCACCTTTGAGGTAAATGGTACTTGCTTCCATGTCGGCATAGGATTGTAATCTAAAACTAACAAATGAAAAGTCATACATACTTATCTATATTTGAGTAGAACCACTCGTAAATACACCATTTGTGTGCTTTAGGAAGTTTGAGTAAGTTACGTAGCCGCAAACCGATCTTCTGTGATGCCTTTTTGTCTGGTGTTGGCATTGTTGCAGTAAACTTCTAGAAAATAATAAAAACAACAACAACAACCAGAGATTACTAACGGAAATACTAAAAGAAGAGAACCACAGAATTATAGAGTGGGAAGTGACCCTGAGGGTCATCTAGTCCAGCCCCTTGTAATGCAGGAATCTCAAGTAGATCATACATGACAGATGGCCACCCAACCTCTGCTTAAAAGCCTCCAAGAAACTTTGACAAGTCTTAAGGGCAGTGCTGTGCACTTAAAAACCTCCAAGGAAGGAAAGTCCACTCTAAAACCGCTCTTAACTGTCAGAAAGTTCTTCCTGATGTTTAGTGGGGATCACCTTTCTTGTAACTTGAATCTATTGGTTCAAGTCCTAGCTGAACCGTTTGTCTTAGTTTTTAGTTGCTGCTTTGTTGATAGTGATTTATAGATTGTAATTGTTTTACTGATTATCTGTTAATTATTTCATATGCTTTATGCCGTACTTGTGATGTTCTGTTAAGCTCTACCATGTTGTTATTTCTTGTTTGTAAGCACTTTGGGATTCATCTGAATGAAAAGCAGCACAGAAATACAACCAATCCACGTTGCAAACCTGAGTTCATTCTGAGCTTTGGCCCACCTGACCTTCTCCTTGCAACTGTTGGCTACTCGTGAATACCCTTTTCTTCGTGATTTCTCATTTCTTCCATTTTTTACATGCCCTTCATAAATCTCAGTTCATCTGTAAGCCCCTTATGCAGCCACACTGGTTTCTTTAAGAGCAGCCCACTTTTCTTTCTTGTTGGAATTATCTGCCTTTGTCCCTTCAATCTTTCACCTTTAAGAAACTCCCATCCAACCTGGACTCCCTTCTCTTTGAGTATTTCTGACCATGGAATCTCACCCAATAGTTCCTTAAGTTTTTTGAAATCAGGCTTCTTAAAGTTCAGAGTGGATGTTCAACTACACTCAGTTTTCATTGCCTGTGTATAATGAAACCCAAGAGGACATAATCAGTTCCTCTCAAGCTTCCGGGTACTTTCACTTTTTCGATCAGTTCCTCCCTGTTGGTGAGGACCAGGTCCAAGAGAGATGATCCCCTTGTTGCTTCTTCCATTTGTCAGTGAGGCAATGGAGGAATTGGTTGGACCTTACATTCTTGGTAGAGTTTGAGTTCTAACAGATATTGCAGTAGTTGAAGTATCCCATGACTACTATATTTCTCCTTTTTAAATGTGTTTGGATTTTTGCAATAAAGTGGAAACTGAGAAGGTTTAGTTTACCTATCAATGAATGCAACAAACTTTACAGATTAACATACCTGGGGAACCATTGCGACTCTCTGGTTTCTTTTGGGTGATCGTGTATTCATTTGCCTTTCCTCTTCCTCACAAAAGGACCGACTTCGTTTTGAACTTCTGAAGGGCTGGAGCAAAAAGAAAAATCTGACTCAATCAACTGAGAAGTTTCACAACGCGCTTTCCTGCAATACGGCAAACCCATGATAAACACGCAGAAGATGCTTCCTTTAATATAATCTTTCTTGATCTATGTAGCACAGTTACAGACTTTTGTGGCCTCTGGTTTCCCTCACCTTGCTTATTTCACTTAGCTGAGAGCAAATTTACCTAAACAGCTGGCTTCCTTGTGTACAACTGTTACAGTACTCATGTAATGTCATATTTTATACTGCTACTCTGCGCTTACGAAACCAGGAAAAATGTTTATTCTTAAAAAATGTAACGGCCAAAGGAAAGAAAACTAGAAGACTACTAATATAGGTCAATGTTGCTCCTTACCATTTCTACAGCAGCTCCTGCATTCTTGCCTTTCCAAATGGGTGTTTTCTGCAAGGAACTGAATTTTTCATTCCATGTATTTGATAAACTTCCCTCTGTATTAAGTTATAAATCATAAATATTATTATTCCTATGTAAAATTAATATAATGTTCTCTAAAAATCCTTTACTGTACAAATGAAAACTTAAAAGTTTACCATTCTTAACATTAAAGATATAACCACATTGTAAAAAACCTCTGTTTAATTTTTTAAAATTATGTTATCTTTCTATTTTGAAAATGCAGCCGACTTCCCACTTAAGAATGATCCGACTTCCCACTTAAGAATGAAGTGCTCTTTAGATATTCATTCACACCATGACTGAACTTTTACTTCCACAAGTACAACAAATTAAAAATAAATGGTATGTCCTACCTTTCAAACTAACCAGAGCTTTTGCTGATGAACCTGAAATAAGTAAAAAAATCCAATAAGGGAACAATATTTCCTGACAGTGGATTCACAGTTCTTTCAGCATTTATAGCTAATTTATTTTTCTTTCTTAATAGGGAAATGCCTTACAAGTGTAAATAAGCTTCAGCCTGTTCAACTATTATGGCTTCCAACCAAGGAAGTATTAATTCAGGGAATATGTACTTCTGGGAAGATCAGGATTCTCTGTGAAAACATCCTCAGCATGCTCACAAAGTATTCATCAGAGAAGTGTAGCTATGACAGCTAAGTCAAATTCAAAGTATAAAGTATAAATACCAGTTGTGTCCAACTGGTATCCCTCCACTTAGGAAGGCTCTTTGATCCAGCAGAACCTACCATCAACAGAATAAGAACTGAGGTGATCTTTGGTAATTCCCCCTGCAGATTCCATACCATCTCCCATACTGTACTGAAGGATCCATAGCAGATTTGAGCAGGTATGGAGTTGAAGGGGGTTGGCATTTGTCTGTCTTGGGAGACAATGGAGAGTGTATGCCTTTGGGGGTGAAGTCAAACTGTTGGAAGGTTGCAGTGCCTGCTGTGGCTGTAGAGACTGATGCAGGATAGACATGTTTTGTTGCAGCTGGGGCAGATGAAGGCATTGGATGTGCTGCTGCAGACGCACCATGGCATTTCTTCTCTCTGTGCTCCTTGCAGCAGTGATTCATCCTCTGGTCAGTGCTGTGGACACACAACCTGACTGGTTGTCTCCAGGTACTGTGGTTGTCTGCAAGGGATTCCCACATGGTGCGCTTAATGTTGCCAGTCTTCATGTCACATTTGCAGACATCTTTGTAAAAGCCAACGGGCCTAGGTTGAAGGGAAAATCTCTGAAAATCACTCCAATTCCTCGACTACTAATTTAAGTTCCCACTGGATCAAGAGTTTTCTTTTGGTGGAGGAACACCAACCAGATACAGCCCAGAAGCACATTAACGCTAGGGTTATTTCACACATATAATGTCAAATTACTGTATGATGGTAAAGAAACAAGGACTGTGCTCCGTTGCCCTGGTCCCTTTGCTAATCCCCTAATTACTAACTTCCTGATATTCAGCAAACCATATTTTGTGGTTTCATCCCAGGAGCATGAATACAATCTCTTCAACTATAAAGTCAAAGTAAGCCAAAAAATGAAAACATGTAACATAGCAGTAATACACTGTTCATGCAGCTAAGTTGGTAGATGTGCTAAACTGGTAACCCTTTGTTCCATTATTTCACTACTACAATTTCAATATGTAAGCATCAGCACCAGCTGCCAGCAGTAAAAATGGCCTAATAAACAATTTGCATTAGGGACCTGAAACGGTTCAAACCTTGTTTACTTTAGATTGAAATAATGAGTTTATTTATGCATTGCGAACATTTTTTCATGGTAGAGAAGAGGATACAAAAGGAAAGTGCATTAGTATCTCCTTAACTTCCAATGTACATTCCATTTCTGTCATCATTAATCCCTCTCACCTGCTTTCTATGATATGAACTAAGACATGATCTTCATACTCACTACTAGCTGAGTAACAAATTTCACATTGTGCTGATGAATAATTTGTAAGGGGAAATATTAGTGAAGATGTAAGGTCTTATCTTTACTAATATTTCCCCTAAAATTCATATGTTCATATGTACAGCATAGGAAGGACAACAAACAGGTGAGAACTGGCAAAGCAATGTTATTCATTCTTTGATTATCACCTCAACCCCTGTTATACCTTCAGCATGTAAGAAAACTGTAAAATAATATACATTCCTTTAAAGTGTTTTAATTGTATATGTGACAAGGTGGTAGGCCAGGAAAACAAACACACAGCAGGGAATAAGCTTAATAAAATTGTTACAAGTATAATATTTGTAGCAGATTTGAAAGTAAGGAGCATTAGTTGTTCAGATGTTTCGCATAGAAAAGCAAGATTTGCAGCTACTATTTTAGGACAACACCAAAATTGTTGAGCTTTTTTGGGGAAACTTCCCCCCAAATAGTGGTTTTAAGCTTTGGGGGCTGTTTCTGCTGCTTTTTCCATTGCATTGCCATACATTCGAGGTTTCTCTGACATTTTGGCAAAATTCCCCCCCAACACCATTTTTACACCCGAAAACCAAGACATGTCAGGAATTTTCCTGACATATGGCAAGCCTATTTACTGTGGTGAATAAAACATATTCTAAACTTACTGGGTGATAACCAATGTTAGTCTTACTTACAAGTTGGTCATTGAATGGGTTTAAGTCCATTGCTTTTGATACGTCTTACTATGAGTATGACTTAGCTCAGGCATGGCCAAACTCAGCCCTCCAGCTGTTTTGGGCCTACAACTCCCATCATCCCTAGCTAACAGGACCAGTGGTCAGGGATGATGGGAATTGTAGTCCCAAAACAGCTGGAGGGCAAAGTTTGGCCATGCCTGAGGATATCACCAAATGTAAGACAAAAACACGAAGTGTTACAGTCATTCTGAACTGTAGTTATGAACTATAGTTATGACAGAATCAGTCAAGGTTATTCCTTCCTAAAAGAAGGCTTTGGCAGTATATAAACATTCTGTATTAGGAGACGTATGTATGAAAATGTCCTGCAAAGCAGTGATAACAAAGGAGACATTCCTCACTGTCTCCTTAACTACAGTAGACATGTTAGTTGCCAAATGCAGCAGTTCTCCAAATACATACAAAAACAGAACATGGCACTATTTCTACCAGGTAAGAACCTATTTTGATGGATAACATTGTTGATTTGCTTGCCTTCATGGACAAGAAGCGAGCGATACATTTACAGGATAGTAAAAGAAACTACTACTTTTCTAGATGCACATCAGCTTTTAGGGCGGGAAATGCTATGTTGCCAAAGCTGCTGTAATTTACAAAATAAAAGTGTTCATACAAACTCTCCAACAGTCCAGTGCTATGGTTGCCTGTGCAAAGCTAAAGAATAGGACCAGGTGTGTGGGATGCTGGTCCACAGAAAATCTGCAAACAGTTGTGATAAATTAGTAAACCCCAAACCTATCGGACTCTACTATAATGTAGCAGTTCAAGACTGTGTGCTCCAGTGGGACAGAAATACAGTCTTAGGTGTCCCATGAATCAAATCTGAGTAGAGAAGATAGGCACCAGAAGCAAAAAACAGCAAATATTATTATTAGTAGTTATTACATTTGTATACTGCCCTTCATCCAAGGATCACAGAACAGTTCACAACACAAAAATGCAAAATGAGAACACATAATACATACCCCCCCAATAACCTCCCTTCCCATAAACACATTTAAAAGGCCATTAAATGTTTAATCACACAATGGCCTGGTTATAGAGAAATGTTTTCACCTGACACCTAAAGTTACAGTGGTGCCTCGCAAGACGAAATTAATTCGTTCCGCAAGTCTCTTCGTCTTGCGGTTTTTTCGTCTTGCGATGCACGGTTTCCCATAGGAATGCATTGAAAATCAATTAATGCGTTCCTAGGGAAACCGCCTTCAGACCAGGTCCGGGGACAGACTGTCCCCGGACCTCTTCTGAAGGCTGGGGGGGGACAAGGGCTTTTCTTCCCACCCCCAGCATTTTAAAAAACCCTGGGACAGCGGAGGACTTCTCCGCTGTCCGGGCGATCTTAAAATGCTGGCGGGCGGCATTTTAAAATCGCCCCGGGACAGCGGAGGACTTCTCCGCTGTCCGGGGCGATTTAAAAGCCCCTGGGAAGAGAGAGCAATTGGATTTGATATGTCTACAGGAAACGCACGTGACCAGAATACACAGGAAATTACTTGTAAACAAGAGACTAGGACAAGAATTTATTTCATCAGACAAGGTCAAAAAAAGAGGCGTCGTGATCTATGCAAAAGAAAAATTGGCCCCTAAAATGATATTTAAAGATGAACAAGGAAGATATTTGGCAATAGAAATACAAATCCAAGGAGAAAAAATTATGATATTGGGAATATATGCACCAAATGAAGGGAAGGCGGAATTTTTCAAGAAGTTGCATGAGACTTTAATGGATTATATGGACTTTAAAATTATAATGATGGGGGACATGAATGGTGTTGTCTCCACTAATATGGACAAGGCACAGAAACAAATAATTTCTAAAGACGGAAGACTACCAAAGACCTTTTTTTGAAATGATGGAAACACTGGACTTGATTGACATTTGGAGAGTAAGGAATCCTCTGGAGAGAGAGGGAACTTTTTTCTCTGAAGCAAAAATGACATGGACACGGATTGACCAAATCTGGGTAACTAGCAGCATGGCACCAAAGGTCAAAAAAGTAGAAATCTGCCCAAAGACTTGCTCCGACCATAATGCTGTGAAGATGGAGATGAAATTAACAACAATTGGAACTTTCAGATGGAGGATGAATGATGCCCTATTCAGAGATGAGGAGATTTATAAGAAGGCCCAAAAAGCTTTGAAAGACTACTTCGAGATAAATTTGAGAACAGATGTGGAGAAAAGAATAATATGGGACGCAAGCAAGGCCGTGATGCGAGGTTTCCTAATACAACAAAATTCCATAAAGAGGAAAAAGCAAAATGAGAGGAAAGAAAAAATCTTGGAAAAAATAAAAGAAGGTGAAAAGAAACTGAGGTCTAAACCAAAGTCTCATGAGATTTTGAGAGAAATAAAGTACCATCAGACACAATATATGGAATTGATGAATCAACAGATAGAATGGAAAATAAAGCAAATGAGACAAAGAACATTTGAATCGGCAGATAAATGTGGGAAACTTCTGTCATGGCAATTGAAAAAGAGACAAAAACTGAACACAGTGACAAGTTTGGAAATGGATGGAAAAATCATCCACAAACCAAATGAGATAAGTAATTGCTTTCAAAGTTTCTTCAGGAAATTATATGCACAAGGGCCTGTTGATGTGCAGGAAATAGAAGAATTTATTAAGAAATATGGACTACCAAAGATCTCAGATCAAAGTAGAATGATTCTGAATGAGAAAATAACAGGACAAGAAATAGAGGGCGCCATTCAGAATATGCAGTTGGGAAAATCTCCAGGACCAGATGGCCTAACGGCTAGATACTACAAGGCATTGAAGGAATGGATAATACAACCACTGAAGGAGGTTTGTAATGAAATTTTAGAAGGGAAAAAGGCACCTGAATCGTGGAAAGAAGCTTTTATTTCACTCATACCGAAAACAGAGACTGAAAAGAACCAGGTTAAAAACTACCGCCCAATCTCATTATTAAATGTGGATTACAAAATTTTTGCAGACATTTTAGCAAAAAGACTGAAAAGAGTGTTGATAGGGGAGATTCATAAGGACCAAACAGGCTTTCTCCCAGGGAGATATATGTCGGACAATGTGAGGAACATTATAGACATTTTGGAATTATTGGAAGTGAACATTAATAGAAAGGCGGTTTTGATTTTTGTGGACGCGGAGAAAGCCTTTGATAATATCTGTTGGACCTTCATGAAGAAGAATCTCCAAGGGATGGGGGTAGGCCAAGGTTTTGAAAACGGTATAGGTGCTATATATTCTAAGCAAAAAGCAAAGCTGATTGTGAACAATGTGGTTACGGAAGAAATACCTATAGAAAAGGGCACACGACAGGGGTGCCCAATATCCCCTTTACTTTTTATAACAGTCCTGGAGGTTTTGTTAAACATGATTAGAGGGGACCAATTGGTTAAAGGAGTTCAGGTCGGAGCGAGAAACTACAAACTAAGGGCATTTGCAGATGACCTTGTACTGACTTTGCAACAGCCAGATACTAGTACTAAAAGAGTACTAGAACTAATTGAGACATTTGGTCAAGTAGCAGGATTTAAATTGAATAAGCAGAAAACTAAGGTGTTGGAGAAAAATTTAACAATCGCAGAAAAAGAGAAATTTCAGAGGGAAACAGGTTTAGAAATAACAAAAAAAGTGAAGTACCTGGGTGTGAACTTGACTTCTAAAAATGTGAATTTATTTAAAGACAATTATGACAAATGCTGGAATGAGGTGAAGAAAGATCTAGAAATATGGTCACGACTGAGACTTTCCTTGTTAGGCCGAATTGCTGTCATCAAGATGAATGTATTGCCTAGAATGTTGTTTTTGTTTCAGACACTTCAGATCATAGATAAAATGGACTGTTTCAAGAAGTGGCAAAAAGACATATCAAAATTTGTCTGGCAGGGCAAAAAGCCCAGAATAAACTTTAAGATCTTAACTGATGCAAAAGAAAGAGGGGGGTTTGCCCTGCCGGACCTGAGACTCTACTATGAATCGGCAGCGTTTTGCTGGCTGAAACAATGGCTGCTTCTTGAGAATACAGACATTTTGGATCTAGAAGGGTATGACAATAGATTTGGTTGGCATGCATATATATGGTATGACAAGGTAAAATTACATAAAGGTTTTAAAAACCATATTGTTAGGAAAGCACTATATAATGTTTGGATAAGATATAAAGATCTACTGGAAAGTAAAACTCCCAGGTGGCTATCACCAATGGAAGCTAAAGAGACGAAAAAACTTAATATGGAGTCCAAATGGCCAAAATACGGTGAAATCTTAGAGCAAGATGGTGAAAGGGTCAAATTACAGAGTTATGATAAATTAAAGTCTAAAGTACGAGATTGGTTGCATTATCTTCAGATAAACGAGGTATTTAAACAGGACAGGAAAGTAGGTTTTCAGATGGAGAGGTCGAAACTAGAAACAGAATTGTTAGAACCCAATACTAAGAACTTGTCAAGAATGTATAATTTGCTGCTGAAATGGAACACACAAGATGAAACAGTAAAATCAGCTATGATTAAATGGGCACAAGACATAGGTCATAACATTATGTTTGAAGACTGGGAAAGGTTGTGGAATACTGGTGTCAGATTTACGGCCTGTAATGTTTTGAGAGAAAATATAATGAAAATGATTTATAGATGGTATATGACCCCAGTCAAACTTGCAAAAATTTACCATTTGCCCAATAACAAATGTTGGAAATGTAATGAAAGTGAAGGTACTTTCTATCACCTTTGGTGGACCTGCCCGAGGATTAAGGCCTACTGGGAAATGATCTATAATGAAATCAAAAAGGTCCTTAAATGGACATTTCCTAAAAAACCAGAGGCTTTTCTCCTGGGCATGGTGGGCCAATTGGTGTCAAGGAAGGACAGAACTTTTTTTATGTATGCTACCACAGCAGCAAGGATTCTTCTGGCAAAGTATTGGAAGACGCAGCAGCTACCTACTCTGGAAGAATGGCAAGCGAAGGTGATTGACTACATGGGAATGGCTGAGATGACCGGCAGAATCCGTGACCAGGGGAAAGAGACAGTGGAAGAAGATTGGAAGAAATTTAAAGTATATCTGAAAAACTGTTGTAAAATTGAAGAGTGCTGAGATGTTATGGTATTAAGAAATAGAGAATTGCAGCTGTATATCATAAATTTAAAGGGGCTATAATGAAGATAAATTAATAATGAAATGAAGGGTTGCTGTTAAAAGGGAAAAAATAAGGATGCAGAAAAAGGGAGGTATGGGGAAGTCCGGGAAACAAGGTGAAGGAGAATGAGTTTATGAAATTGTACATGTTTATTTGTGTGTATGTTTTGTTTTGTTTTGTTGTTTGTTTATACTATATGTTTGGAAAACTAATAAAAATTTTTTTTTAAAAAAAAATAAAAGCCCCTGGGAAGGCAGGCAGGGGGGACAAAGACTTTCGCCCCCCGCCCGCCTTCAGAAGGTGTTCCCGCCCCCCCCGCCCGGCTTCGCAGCAGTGCTACGAAGCCCGGCGGCTAGGGCAGGTGTTCCCGCCCCCCACCCGGCTTCGCAGCAGCGCTACGAAGCCCGGCGGCTGGGGCAAGTGTTCCCGCCCCCCCACCCTGCTTCGGAGCAGCGTTCCGAAGCGGGGTGGCTGGGGCAGGTGTTCCCGCCCCCGCCCGGCTTCGCAGCAGCGCTACGAAGCCCGGCGGCTGGGGCAGGTGTTCCCGCCCCCCACCCCGCTTCGGAGCAGCGTTCCGAAGCGGGGTGGCTGGGGCAGGTGTTCCCGCCCCCCGCCCGGCTTCGCAGCAGCGCTACGAAGCCCGGCGGCTGGGGCAGGTGTTCCCGCCCCCCCACCCCGCTTCGGAGCAGCGTTCCGAAGCGGGGTGGCTGGGGCAGGTGTTCCCGCCCCCCGCCCGGCTTCGCAGCAGCGCTACGAAGCCCGGCGGCTGGGGCAAGTGTTCCCGCCCCCCCGCCCCGCTTCGGAGCAGCGTTCCGAAGCAGGGTGGCTGGGGCAGGTGTTCCCGCCCCCCGCCCGGCTTCGCAGCAGCGCTACGAAGCCCGGCGGCTGGGGCAGGTGTTCCCGCCCCCCCCACCCCGCTTCGGAGCAGCGTTCCGAAGCGGGGTGGCTGGGGCAGGTGTTCCCGCCCCCCGCCCGGCTTCGCAGCAGCGCTACGAAGCCCGGCGGCTGGGGCAGGTGTTCCCGCCCCCCCCACCCCGCTTCGGAGCAGCGTTCCGAAGCGGGGTGGCTGGGGCAGGTGTTCCCGCCCCCCGCCCGGCTTCGCAGCAGCGCTACGGAGCCCGGCGGCTGGGGCAAGTGTTCCCGCCCCCCCCACCCCGCTTCGGAGCAGCGTTCCGAAGGTGGCTGGGGCAGGTGTTCCCGCCCCCCGCCCGGCTTCGCAGCAGCGCTACGAAGCCCGGCGGCTGGGGCAGGTGTTCCCGCCCCCCCCCGCTTCGGAGCAGCGTTCCGAAGCGGGGTGGCTGGGGCAGGTGTTCCCGCCCCCCCACCCCGCTTCGGAGCAGCGTTCCGAAGTGGGGTGGCTGGGGCAGGTGTTCCCGCCCCCCGCCCGGCTTCGCAGCAGCGCTACGAAGCCCGGCGGCTGGGGCAGGTGTTCCCGCCCCCCCACCCCGCTTCGGAGCAGCGTTCCGAAGCGGGGTGGCTGGGGCAGGTGTTCCCGCCCCCCTGCCCGGCTTCGCAGCAGCGCTACGAAGCCCGGCGGCTGGGGCAGGTGTTCCCGCTCCCCCACCCCGCTTCGGAGCACCGGGAGAAGCGATCTCCCCGCAGCCCCTTGCTTCAAAAGAGGTCCGGGGGCAGACCTCTTTTGAAGCAAGGGGCGGTGGGGAGAAGCGATCTCCCCGCCGCCCCTTGCTTCAAAAGAGAAGACCCGCTGTCCCCGGGGCAAGCTTCGTTTTGCGAAGCAAGCCCATAGGGAAATTCAATACAACATCACACACCTGTATTTTCAAAGACCACAAACAGAAGAGAAAGAGAGCGAGTGAGCAGTAAGCTGGAAGCATGCTGAGCAGATAGCCCACACACCAGTCTAGCACAGACCCAGATGAAACCAGTTAGGAAGGCAGTAACAATTAGTATGCAATACTGCAAGAACTGTACTAGAACAGCAGTCATTATTTGCCAGCACTACTGAATCACACTACCAGATTATGATCTTAGGCTACTTTCTTGACGGTAAGTTAAGTTCCATTACACTTGAACGGGACTTATTTGCAAATAAATGTTTTTAGAGTCAAGGTATGAAAGTGGTTGAGAAACGTTTATCTAACTACAAAAGCCTACCTATCACTTTGTGAAGCTGGTGGAGAGTGGGATGTGGAAATTTAATAGAAAGCTGTTACACCACAAATGATTGAATAAGAAGACGATATCAGCACCCTACTCCTCCCAAGTGAGCCAATTAAGTTTAGTTTATGTAGCTTAATTTACCTATTTTGCTTCATTTTTTTGGCCTGGGCTAATGGGAATTGACAGCTTTGTTCAGATGTTGATGCAGAACATCCCAACAGATGCACCTTTTGTAGAGGAAGGAACTTCTGGCTTGAATGATTATGAGTAGCACTTAGCAGTTATTATTTATGTGAATGCAGTCATCACGCAAACTACTTATCAGCATGGCTGCACCAACGCTACTTCCTCCAGGCGGCTGTGTCCTTCAGAATGCTCTTTGGGGGATATCTGGACTGGACCCATGTGTCCTTATAAAAAAAATATTCAGTTTACTGAGCAGAAACCTGCATTTTTTTAAAAAACAAAAGATAAAGCTTTATGTTGTTCAATTCCATACTGCCAAAAGATTTGTGCAATAGGTTGACAAGCCACAGTTATTTAGATAACTGTGTTATCTAAATCAGTAGTCTTCCACTTTTTCAGACCAAGGACCAACGTTAACCCAAACATGCATTTGGAAACCCACTTCTTAATTTCCCCCATATATTTGAATGGTGGTAGTGCTGCTGTTGTGACCTAACTTAAATCAAGCTGCAACCTGGTAGTGTGTCCTGGCCTACCAGTTGAAGGCCAATGATCTAAATACAGGTTCATACCTTGTTAATGACATGATGTTCGGAAGGTGGTTGCATGTGCTAATGAAGATGTATCTTGAGTTTTCTGATTATCATGCTTGGAGTGGGGAGGAAATTTCTTCTATGTCAGAGTAGACAACAAGCTGTAATTGCCTTCCTCTAACATCTGGCTTGGGTGAATTTCTCAAGATATTTGGTATATAGATGCACTGTGCAATTCCTTAGCGAGTGGTCATCTCTGACATGATGTTGATGCCTTCTGCCTGATGCACATGTTTATACTTGGGATCATGCAAGTTAATATGTAGATAGATTAGTGTTAGTACAAATGATAGGTACCTGATTCAATATTAAACATAAAAACAAATGCCTTGCATGTTCTCATTAAAGAATTCTCATACAGGTCATTTTCATATATGCATCTCCCAGTACAAAACGCTTGTATATAAATACGGTGCATTCCCACTCATTAGTCTCACCTTATGAAAAGGAGTAAGTTTAAATAATAGCCCCAAATCATATCAGACTAGAAAATACCTTTCAAAATGACCCTTACACCTTGTCCTGTGGAACCAGTGGACCTACTGAGAATGACTAACATTTGATATCACCTAATATATTGAGTATGTTTTACCAATCATAGTAAACAGTAACCAAAATAACCCAACTTCCTTACTTTCAAATGTACAAATATAACTCGAAATAATTTTATTAATATTGTACAGTTTTCCCACATACTAATGATTTAGTTCTTTGTTTAATCTACTGTATAGCACATTAGACAAACACAATTCACTATTATAGCCTATATTCACAACAAACTTCAAAGTCATTGATAGTTTGTCCATAAATGCAATTTTATATAATTCACTGTTTTTCTTTAAGCTTCAACTTTTGCACTACCACACAGTTGTGAACTTGAGTTTATAGTATGTACAGTATATCGTCTTACATTATTTCCCGCACATTTGAACAGATCTTTGGCCACCACCTGCATAACTACTAAATGAGTCCATATGCAGTAAGATTTCATGTTTGTATTCATTTTCTTGTTTTCATATACAAATTTTCAGTGTATGTATACATGCAAACCTGCATCAATTTCCACCAAATCAACACAGAATACTATATGGAGGTCACCCAAGTGTTCCTATTCCTTAGAAAGAAGTTTACAGTGACATCCACAGTATGTAACACCTCCTGTTAATACTCTGATTACTTTTTTACATAAACACAATAAAAGGTCAAGTGAATCTTGACCGGTCTCAGGGTGAATTTCTGTGGCAGTTCCCAATCCTTCATATAATAAATGCATCAGAGGATATGCATTATTTTTATGTTGATAATATGAGCCACCAGTCTTCTATATCCAGTGCTTACTCACTCTTTTTTTATTTGCTTACATTGGCACACCACCCTATAGTAGAACTCTTGGAGAAGTTTACCTGTGAAGTTGCTTTACACTTTTGAGCTGAGAATCATTGTGCCTTCCATCTGCCAGATTCAACGAAAATGCTTCCTCATGAAGATATATATACTTGTTTTTGCTTCCATGGACAACCTGAATGCCCCCTCCTCCACATACATGGAACTTTTCAACATACCATGCCACAATTTTCCACGGTGCAACATACATAGCAAGCCAACTCTAGGAAGCATATCCAACCCTGCCAAGTGATCAGCCACAAAACCAGTGTTTTTTTTCTTTAAAAAATGTTTAGGGGTACTCTCATTTCCCTACTCATATTGAAATACTGCCCCTCAATGCGGCCAAACTTAGATTCACAAAATGTTTAGGGGTATGCGTACCCCACAGAAGAAAGTACTGCACAAAACAATGCGCTACCACTACTTTGGTTCCAAATTCAGAGGTTGCTAAATTACTAGTTGACATACACAAGAGAAACAACAATATGGACCTCTCCTTTGTCACTTTCACTATCCTGCTGCTATGGACAAGAGGAGAGTGAAAAACAATGCTTTATTTATCCTGGTTAAGAAACTATCTTCCTAAGCAGCAGGACGTTCCGTAGTGAAAAAGGGTGAGCACCTAAACCACCCCCAAAGCATCGAAGGTTAGTGTCATGTCAAACCCCCGGGGCAGGGTGCCCATGGCAGCTCAGAGACCTCCCCAACTGCGCTGTGGTGGTTGCTGTACCCTTTATTTCCACTGCCTCTCCCGGAGAGGTGCAATGTCAGTGGCAGCCACCTGCCCTGCACGCAACACTTCGCTGCCCGGCCTAGGGAAGCTTCCACGCCTCCCTTTGCGCCCCGGGCACTGCCCCGGCCTGCACCAAGACTGGGGGTGCAGGGTGCGGCTCACCCCCGACAGGAGAAGTGGAGGTTATATAACAGCGGCTTCCGGCCCTGCCTGCTGGCCTCTCCCCGCCACCGCCTCCCGAAGAGGGCAGCTCCGGGGTGCGGGCGGAGGGGAGGCCACGGGAGAGCTGCACTAGGCCGGGCACTGAGGGAGGAGGAGACTGTGGCTCCGGCCCCGCACAGCTCCCACAACAACAACAGCAAGCAGCAGCAGCAGCAGCAGCAAAAGCAGCAGCAGCAGTAGCGAGCGCCGCCGGCGGCGGCAGCCGGAGCCACCTGGGCGGCTGGGGGCCGGGGGAAAGGGAGCAGGCGGAGGGTCCCGTCCCCGGGAACCGCCCTTTGAGGAGCTCCGGCGGAGGAAGGGGCCGAGCGGCGGGACGGAGCGAGGGGCGCCGCGGGTCGCTACTCACTCTCGTCAGGCAGCTGATCCAACTCCGCCATCTTGAAGGAGCCGCGCCGCTTTTTCAAAGGCTGCCTGTCGCGGTGCATTGTGGGGGAGGAGACGGAGTCCTCCAGCCCGCCTGGCTGGCGGAACCGGGGCGGCAGGGACGCGCCAAGCCGCTCAAGCAGCTGCCCGGGCCACCGCCGAGGTGCCCACGAAGGCAGGCGCGGCCGGGAGCGCGCTCCGCTTGGCTGCAGGGCGGCTGTCGGCTCTCTTTCGTAGCGGCTTGAGAGAACTCCCAGCGCCGGGACTGGGAAGAGCGCTGGCTTCCCTCCCGCCCTGGGTGCAAGGGCTCCCCCTCTGACACGCGTCTTGCAGTCGTGGGCATGGTTGGGGCTGATGACGCGCAGAGCATCTCGTGCTCTGCTCTCAGGGGACAGTTGGGTGTCGTGGTGCGGGGCGTAAGAGAAACCCCCGCTCCCCTCCCCAAGCAACTTTATAGGTACTCGTCGAGGTGGTACTTTTTGTTGTTGCATTTTGGGTTTTTTTTACAATCCTGGATGACTGTCTTAATTTCTGGGCACCGCATTCTAAGGAGGCTGCGGGGTTTTGTTTTCCGAAGAGGGTGAGGGAGTTGGAGACCACGTCTGACGAGGCTGGGTATATATTTAGCTTGGAAAAGAGAGACCATTAAGAGACGGCATGATACCCATCTTGGGGTATGTTGAAAGGCTGCCCCATAGGTGTTGGAGCACACCCTGTTTCCCCACAGCGCAAGACTTTGAACCGGTGGGTTCAAATGACAAGAAAGGAGGTTATGAACAATCCGAAGGAAGAACTGTAGGAGCGATTCAGTTCAGTCTTCTCCATTGCCCCTCCAACATGTTTTTTTCCTCTCCCAGAAAGAAAGAAAACCATCATGATAACGACAGCTGACTAGAGTATATCTTTCTGCAGTGCGTGCTGCCATTGAATGCTAGTAACATTTCTTCAGGACTTCTCCGGGGAGTCACAGGGCAGCTTCCGTTGCTAGACTCAAACTCCCATCATCCTTGGCCGTTGGACTTGCTGGCTGGGGCTGATGGGAGTTGGAGTCCAATAGCACAAGGTCCCTATCGCTCAACTAGGGCGACTATAGATTTGCAGTCTTTGTGGAATATGGGAGGGGCTGTGTAGTAAGTAACCATAGTTGAGATGTGACCAAATTTGAGCACTTTACGTTTATAAAATATGATAATTATATTCCTTATAAAATGGATGTAATTTGTCCTTACTAAGAAATTTAGCATGCAGAATCTCCTTGGGGAAACATACAAGCTGTCTGCATTTTGGAGAAATCTGATAAAGAATGCCTCAATTGCAGCATTTTTTTAAAAAAAGGTATTTCTCTCCCCTCCCTTATACTATATAGGGAGTGAGGGAAAGAGTTACATCAATGATTTCTGGTATTCAATTGAATGTTGGGGGTCTTGCCTATGGTGGTCTTCAAGTGGAAGCTAGAAATTGGAGCTGTAACTAAGGACGGAACAATGAATTCTGCCTTTAATGTTGCTGTCACAGCAGTGGGGATTTTTTCATTTGATTTCCTTGAAATTTGAAATGCCTCTGCACCTCTATGTAAATATCTCATGCAAATTCCATTAGGTTGCGGAGACACAGGCTGAAAGCTGCACTCAGCCGTTAAGCTCACTTTGGTTATCTTGGATCAGTCATCTGTCTAACCCACCTCACAGGGTTGTTGTGGAAATAGGTGTTACCACTCTCATTCTATTTCCATTATTTAATAATAATAATAAAGCTGAAAGAGGGGTGAATTGAATGGCTGTGGCAAGTGTGTAAGCCTTTTCCGCTGTATCATTTCCCCTAAATTACCCCTCCTCCCCCAGAGCTCACCTGTGACATGTAGATTTTCCTGTCTAGCCAATAGTGGCAAGTGGGATGCTCATGTTGGTG